GCTGGCTGGGGAATTCTGGGAGTTGAAGTCCACCCGTCTTAAAGTTGCCAAGGTTGAGGTACCCTGCTGTAGAACATAGAAAACAGCAAAGGTGATCAGTTTAGATACTCCAGTGATCTCAAAAAGTGGCAGGTTTGGTACAATAGTGAAAGTGGTCAAGCAAAAGAGAGGAATATTTCCCCCAACAAAGAGAGGGGTTGTATAACCTAATGTAGGCCTATGAGAGAGAGAATGTCCTGTATAAAATGTATGGAATTTAATCTGCAGGGGGAAAAATTTGGGGGGTGGGAGTGGAAATGGAAATGGAAGTACCCAAAAAATGAAAAGATTTTCCTCATAATTGAAAGAAAGCCTAAACACACATAACTGTATTGACATATATTCTTCCCAGGTCAATACTGAACCCCTCCCTTATCTCTGTGGTCTTCCATGTAGCTAAGAGTCAGAATTTACACTCTGTAGAACCACCTACATCGAGGGCGCCTTGCTTATGCGGCTTACTTACAAAATACATGGCTCTTTGTAAAGCAGCATAAAGAGGCATGCGTACTGAAGGTGTTATGTAAGCAAACTGGCAATCATGAAATAGCATTCTGTTCTGACTCTGACTTTGAGACAGGGTGTTTGATCTCTGCAGGCCTGGTTTTTCTTTCTGTAAAATGATTGCTGACTCATTTAGAGTTTTTCTGCTCATACCTGCAGGATGGTGTAAGCCCATCTGCCCCGCCGAAATGTAATTGGCTCTTTAAGGCAAGGCTCCATTTGGCTCCTAAAGCAGGGGGTAAAACAAGCAGTATATTCACTGACAGTGTAACCATTCTTCTGTTAGGATTTACAGTACCAATAGAAGTGAATATGTTTCTATTATGGAGTAATAGAAGACGTTTCATTACCTGGCTAGATACCTAGCCGGGTAACTAAACATCTGGAAGAAAATAACCAAGCTCAGAGAACCCCAAGGACTCCACAGGATTTACAGTATTATGTTAAGACAATTGCTTGCAAAATAACATCCTCTTATTTATTTATTTATTTTTGTTTGTTTGTTTGAAGTTGAATATCAGTCAACCTTCCTGTTAAGCTTCTTTTTTTCCTAGGTAAAGGAAAGAACATAGATGATAAAGGGGTCAATACAACAACCTTTAGGAGCGTGAAAAAGCTACATTTTGGAATCACACAGAACCACTGAGTGCAAGAAAATAATCACCTGCAACAAATGACTTCTTAGTTTCTCCTGTTCTTCTCCAAGGTCTTTACCCTGTTCAGTATTGTTTCGGTTTTCTTCCTGAGCTTACAGCTTCCCTACAGAACCATCTCTTTCCCTAGGGCTGTATATGATCTTGCTCCAAGCCAAAGAAACAGTTTTTCTTTCTTATATAGAAAATAAACTGTAGAAGGTCAACTGTTCCCTACACTTTTGGAATGTTGATGAACGTGATGTAATGCCACACGACCTCAGCCAGTGACTGCTGGAAGCTTTACCACCCTCACCACAAAACAGAAGATATATACATGCACACACACAGCAAAAGCTTTTATTTATGGGTAAATATATTACTGCACTGGCAAGGAGCCGTGTGTGTGTGTAATTAGTACATGTGCAATCTATACATAAATTATTTTCTATTTTGCACTCCACAGAAATAGTGGTTATGGGTCACTAAAAAAAAGAATTCTTACCCTCTGTGCTGAGGCACAGAAAATCAGTAATAGAGCTGAGGACAAAACAAAAAACAAAAAAACCAGACCAGAAACAGAGATGGGCAAACTTCAGGCCTTCAAAAAGGATGCAGTACAACAGGAGCAAGAATTGGCTTGGAAGTGATATTCTCTCTCCCTCCAAAGAGATCTCTAATTGAAACTCAGCGTGTATATTCTTCTGAACAGAAAAGATCCAGCAAAGCTTAGTTTTGGGGGCAGTTGATTCTAGTTCTCTTGGGAAAGTTAGCAGATTCTCAGTTTTGGTTCATCTTATGTCAATCAAATAAAGCCAGTTTGGTGTAGTGGTTAAGGCACCAGGCTAGAAACCGGGAGACTGTGAGTTCTAGTCCTGCTTTAGGCATGAAGCCAGTTGGGTGACCTTGGGCCAGTCATTATCTCTCAGCCCTAGGAAGCAGGCAATGGCAAACCACTTTCGAAAACCCTTGCCAAGAAACTGCAGGGATGGCAAGACACCCAAATAGCATCCACACAATCCCAAAATGCAATATATACTTATGTAATTAATGCTTTTTTAAAAAATGGGCCGAATCATACAAGCTTTCAGTGTTCTTGCATGAGATTCTATCAGATCTTGTGTTCTGATTTTGGTATTTTGTACAAGTGTAGCTAAGAAAAACAAAATCTTATGAGATTTCAGATGACAATCCATGACATTTCAGGGCTGAAGCGATCAAAACCTCATGAAATTGGATGATCTTGTGAGACTTGGGAAGTTTTAAAAATGTTATTTGGAGGCCTTCCTTGGGCATTGTGCGAGATTTCTGTGTACAACCCTGGCATATGCAGTAACAAATTACAGGCAAACCAGTATGGGTGTTTGTGTGTTACAGGGGCTCCCAGGTTCAGCTTATGGCAGTGTTGTCCAAACTTGGCCACTTTAAGATGAGTGGACTTCAACTCCCAGAATTCCCCAGCCAGCCAGAATT